TGTCGGGTTTTCCGTTTATTAACAGATTACTACTCCTTCATGAACACAGAAAATGAAAAGCCACTAATCACTCTGATGTGGAGAACAAAGGAAAAGAAAAAAATTTAAAGTTCCTTACAACTTACACCCCATTGACAAGTACTTGGGACAGGCAGGGTGACCTTCTTCCAGGAACTCAACTCCCTCAATGTTAGTACTTTCCTAAAGGAAAAAACAACCTTAGCTTGACCTTAGCCAGAACTCTAGGATCCTGTAAGTTTTCTTTAACATATGAAAACCTCTTTGGAAACTTCCTTTAGTTCTACCCACCCCCCCATCCCCAATGGTTAGCAATCATTCCCTAGACAAATAGCCCACTGATAACACATCTGAGGGGTCTCATGACTAAGATTTTAGTAGACAGTACTAAATGACCTTAACCTGACAACGGCTACCCCTCAAGGTCCTGGAAACCTTGCTACCAAAATCCTTAGAGACTAATGCTATCCCTAAACTTAAAAATATATAATGAATCACCCCTCATAAGACCAGTGCAGCTCTTTCTGGTGATGGGTCCTGTCCCTGTGATTTAATAAAACCACCTTTTTTGCACTGAAGACATCTCAAGAATTTCTTGACCATGTGCTCCTGCACCCCAACATTTCAGATCAACTCTACCTCATGCAGTGAAACAATATTTGCAGTATGGTATCCTTTTAGAATTGCTTTGGCACATGGATGGATTGCTCTGTGTGTACAGGGCTCTGTGCTCAAATATGTTCCTATGTTACCAAAACCCAAGGTCGGCTGCACATCCCTCCAAAGCCAATACTCAAGAGACAAGTGACTGGAAAGCAAAATGAGCATTAGTGAGGAGGCTGGCCACGTGGGGAAAAGTGGACTCTTGTACAAAGGCCAACTCCAAGGATTCTGCCTCACCCAGGCGTTTTTAAAGGAGTTTAGGGCAGCTAACCAGGAGAGGGAGTACAACAGTCCTTAGCACTTCTTGACTACATGCACACTCGATGGTGCTAGCTATAGATGTTATCACAGTGCTGGGAGGTTGTGCAACGGGTCCGTTCTGTTTTGTGGCATGCAGAAGTGCTCAGCGCTAACTGGGAGAGAATGCATGATCTACAGCTAAACTGAGAAATGTTAATCAACCATGTGGGCTAAGGATGCTTCTTTAACCTTAAGATTACTAGGTTGGCCCAAGGGCCCAAGGTGGTTTCACCCATATGTACAGTTTTTCATAGGACTGAAAAACCTTGGCTGCCCCCATTTTGACTTCAAACTTTCGAGCTGGGTTCTTTCCAGCTTGTCTCTTGACTCAGATGGAAGACCCACTGGCAAGGCATCCCCCGATGGGAACCAAAACTACCCCCTCCAGCCCTAAGGATTGCCCTGAGCCAGCAAGTCCCCACCCATGACTGACTCCAGGACAGTGATCTATTTGACTTTCAAACATGCCTACCTGCATGTACCCACCCACCTTTGGCTGATACTTTCCTTCTATAAACCTGGAATTACTTTTGTCACTTTGGCGTCAGTCTTTGAAAGGTTAGTCCAGGGTCTTCTCTGCATTGGCCTCGCTGAGAGAAATTCCTTCCCTGTTTCACCAACACCTCTTCCTCTGCCTTTGGATTTTCTCACTAGGAGCAGCCAAACCTAGTCCGTTTGGGACCCCCAGGTTAGGTGCTCTTGCACCCCATACCCCAACAGTACAACAAAGTCATAATTTGTGGACCAACCTGCTCCTGAGGTTTTTTTCCCTTAAAATAATCGACAACCTAATCATCGGAGTGTAATCCAGACTTCTACACCATACCGCCACCTGAGGGCGCCCGAGCAGTCATGACGGTGCACGCGGCAGGAATGGAGGACTCACCTGTGGACTGTGCTGTGTCCCTGAGGAGCAAGGATGACCAGAGCTCTGGGCAGGGCACTGCCTTAAGGATCAGTGGTGGGAACTTAGGCTCCAGGGGGTCCTTCCTAAATCTTCTACCCAGGGTGCTGACTCCCTCCATGTGTCTCCTCTATCCCTGTGCCAGCCCTGCTCTCCAGCCTGGTACTGAGGTCCCCGGGACACCCCGCCCTGATCTCCCCATGCTCAGCCCCTTTCAGGCTGACCCCCCAAGATGCGACCTCGTTCCCATGTGCGCCTGCAGAGGAAAAGGCCTCTGCAGGTTCCCATTCTAAAGCACCTGACCTCAATAACCTCTTCCTTAGGAAGGAGGCTGAACTCCTCCTGGTCTCCTGTCCTTTTTTTAAAAAAAAAGATTTTATTTATTTATTTATTTGACAGAGAGAGAGAAAGCACAGCAGGCAGAGCGGCAGGCAGAGGGAGAGGGAGAAGCAGGCTCCCCGCTGAGCTGGGGGCCCAACATGGGGCTCCATCCCAGGACCCTGGGATCATGACCTGAGCTGAAGGCAGATACTTAACAACTGAGCCACACCCAGGCGCTCCTCTTATTTTTCTTTTTTAATAAAACCGTAGGGAATGAAAAAATTTTGTTTTAAGGCATTGACTTTATAGCCCATGCATTAAGGGCAGTCTTAAAGATTTTTATACTGGCTGTTTCCCCCTCTACCCACTCTCTTGCACAGCTGGCAAAGGTCAGGGCCAACTTCTAAAGTCTGAGAACTAGTGCACTACAGGTGAGGTGGTCCCCTGCTGCAGCCACTAAGCTGACGGTGCAGGACTAGCCGAGAGATGCAGAGCCCAGCTGGCAGTTGCAGGTTGAAGCAGGAAACCTGACCTTCCTGTACATCTCCCAGCCTGCAAATGCAAAGGATCTGACACACAAGCCCTTGGGTGGAGGGGGTGCCACTTGGCGTGGAGGCTGATAGTGGATCAAAATCAAAGGCAAAGGTCAAACAAAGGCTCAAAATCACTACAGGGAGGGAACAAACAAAAACTGCACCAACACTGACTCCTGATCTTACAGGAGACTTTGTGCCTGGATCCCTATTTGGGGAGCTACTCGGCCCCACCTGGCTCCCAGCCCTTCCAGTCCAGGGGGAGGCGGGAAGTCGCCCCAATGCACCCCCCCTCCCCACCGCGGTCTTTCTCTAAATCTGAGGTCTGGAAACACAGCCCAGGCTACTGCTGAGATGCACAGAATGTAGACTCCTCTGGGGACCCGCAGTCAACCATTACAGAAAGAGAAGAATTAAATCACTTGGAGGCTGGCGTTCCATAGTGAGAATTTCTTCCAATATACTGTGCGCAATCAGAGGAAGTAACTCTGCTACCCAGTGGGTGCGCCTGATGACCCTGTGACTGTAAGGTGAGACCAGCCAGATTTTCAGTCACCCATCAGGGTGTTCAGGGACGTCCCTCCCCTCTGGCCTGTGAGGATTAAGGTCTCCTGCCTGTGAGGCTCCTGCAGACCTCCAGGCAGCTCACAGCCCCCACAGCTGCTGTCTGCCTAGCCTTGTAAAGTCTGCACACACCAAGGTTTAGTTTCCCACCAAACACCCAAGTACAGTTTTTCAGCCCCTTCCTGAGCATATCCACTCTCACACTGGGAGAATTTACACACTGAAATCAGCAAACACTGCAGAGCACGGATGGATTTTTGTCTTTCTGAATGCCTGGACTTAGGAAAACGATGATGTAATGGTAAGAATGCACCCTAGACTTAAATGTGTAAGGTGTTTTGGGGCATGACATAGTGCAGGACACAAAAAATCTCAGGACAAATAATGAAGAAATAGCCTCCCAGTATTACCATGAATCCATAGAGAAAATGTCATAGCATGTAAGAATGAGAAAAATTCTAACATTTATCTTTGTTGTATGCATGTCTTATTTGTAAATGAAAGGGAATTAGCCATAACTCAAATCAAAGAAAATAAGCAGATGATACAAACAGAAATTATACCAAAGAAGACATACAGGGGGTAAATAACCACATGAAAAAAATGCTGAAAGGCAGAAATCCCTAGGAAATGCAATTACAACATAACACTACACACGTATTAAAAGGGCAGACATTGGGTGCTCAGTCGTTAAGTGTCTGCCTTCGGATCAGGTGATGATCCCAGAGTCCTGGGATCGAGCCCTGCCATCAGGCTCCCTGCTCCGCGGGAAGCCTGCTTCTCCCTCTCCCACTCCCCCTGCTTGTGTTCCCTCTCTCGCTGTGTCTCTCTCTGTCAAATACATAAAATCTTTAAAATAAAAAACTAAAAAAAATAAAAGGGCTGACACTGAAGACTGACCCTCTCAAGTACTGGCAGGGAATGAAGATGCTGGAGCTCTCATACGTACCTGGTGGGAATGCAATAGTGAACAGCTCAGATCCTACTTTGGCCCTTTCATGAAACTTAAACACTCACCTACCTGTGACTTAGCCACTGTGCTTCGAGTTTTAACAGAAGAGAAATGAAACCTCTATCTGCATAAGGAATTATAATAAAAATATATAGAGGGATTTGTCTGTGAAAGGGAAACACTGGAAATAACCCACATGCTCCAAACAGATGCAGAGATCAATAGTGGTGCACATCCAGAGAAAAGACAGTACTGTAGACTGAAAGGGACATACTTGCAAAACGACCTCCAGCCTTCAGGCCAACGAAAAAGGCTGAGAAGTCCACCTAGAGGAGAAATGTTTATTCAAGGACTTTAAAATAGAAACGGATCTTCAGGAGACACCGTTAATAGGTGTAGGACTCTGCACAACCACCTCCAAAAACATCTGCTTTTTTAGCCCTAAGGCTGGGGAGTACCTGCGAGACACCCTGGGAGGAGAATGTTTCAGAACAGGTGTCTGCCACCTGTTCTGAAGGTGGAGTTCAGTGAACAGAACCATTTAGTTCATGTTACCACCATAAAGACTTTATTTACTGTGTACTTTCTCATCTTGAATGAGACTGGAAAAATAGCTGAAAGATTTCCCACATCCCCAGTACTCCTAATGTCTTTCTCCAGCGTGAACTCTGTGATGATAACTAAGAGCACCATAACTGAAAAAAGATTTCCCACATTCACTGCAAGCATAAGGCCTTTCTCCTGTGTGAATTCTCTGGTGTTGAATGAATGTCGACTTGTACTTCAACAATTTCCCACATTCATTACACTTATAAGGCTTTTCACCTGAGTGAACCTTTATGTGTACATTCAGGGTATTTCTTTGGAAGAAGGACTTGCCACATTCACTGCACTCATAAGGCCTTTTTCCAGTGTGAAGTCTCTGGTGAGAACGGAGGAGGGAACGAGAAGTGAAAGTTTTCCCACAGTGACTGCATTTATAAGGCCTTTCTCCAGTGTGAACTCTCTGGTGATCACGGAGATAAGAACTACAAGTAAAAGATTTCCCACAATCACTACAATCATAAGGACTTACTGCAAGGTGACTTTGACGATGATACCGGAGGGCGCGGCTATAACTAAAAGACTTCCCACATTCACTGCACAGGTAAGGCTTTTCTCCTGTGTGAATTCTCTGATGTTGAATGAACGTCGACTTATAGTTCAAAGATTTCCCACATACATTACATTTGTAAGGCCTTTCACCTGAGTGAACCTTAACGTGTACATTGAGACTATTCCTTCGGGAAAAGGACTTGCCACATTCACTGCATTCATAAGGCCTTTCACTATTGTGAACTCTCTTGTGAGAACGAAGGTGAGAAGTAGTGGTAAAAGACTTCCCACAGTCACTGCATTCATAAGGCCGTTCTCCAGTGTGAACTCTCTGGTGAGAACGAAGGGCAGATCTAGACGTAAAAGATTTCCCACAATCACGGCACTCGTGAGGCCGGTCTCCTGTGTGAATTCTCTGGTGTTCAACGAATGTTGACTTACACTTCAGTGATTTCCCACATTCATTACACTTATAAGGCTTTTCACCTGAGTGAACCTTTAGGTGCACACTCAGGCTATTTCTTCGGACAAAGGACTTGCCACATTCACTGCACTCATAAGGTCTCTCTCCAGTGTGAACTCTCTGGTGATAATGGAGGGCCGAATTAGCAGTAAAAGATTTCCCACATTCACTACACTCATAAGGCCTTTCTCCAGTGTGAACTCTCTGGTGATCACGGAGGACAGTCCTCGTGGTAAAAGATTTCCCACATTCACTGCACTCATAAGGCCTTTCTCCAGTGTGAACTCTCTGGTGAGAATGAAGGACAGAACTAGTGGAGGACAGTCCTCGTGGTAAAAGATTTCCCACATTCACTGCACTCATAAGGCCTTTCTCCAGTGTGAACTCTCTGGTGAGAATGAAGGACAGAACTAGTGGCAAAAGATTTCCCACATTCACTGCACTCATAAGGCCTTTCTCCTGTGTGAATTCTCTGGTGTTTAATCAATGTTGACTTACACTTCAAAGATTTCCCACATTCATTACACTTATAAGGCTTTTCACCTGAGTGAACCTTCACATGTACTTTGAGGATATTTCTTCGGACAAAGGACTTGCCACATTCACTGCACTCATAAGGCCTTTCTCCAGTGTGAATTCTGTGATGATAATGGAGGTGAGTCCTATAGATAAAAGACTTCCCACATTCACTGCACTCATAAGGCCTTTCTCCTGTGTGAATTCTCTGGTGTTTAATCAATGTTGACTTCCACTTAAAAGATTTCTCACATTCGTTACACTTATAAGGCCTTTCACCTGAGTGAACCTTTATGTGTACTTTGAGACTATACCTTCGGACAAAGGACTTGCCACATTCACTGCACTCATAGGGCCTTTCTGCAGTGTGAACCCTCTGGTGAGCACGGAGGATAGAACCAGTGGTAAAAGATTTCCCACAATCACTACACTCATACGGTCTTAAGTCTGTGTGAGATCTCTGATGATAACAGAGGGCAGACATAGAGGGAAAAGATTTTGCACAGCCACGACATTTATAAAACCTTTCTCCAGGGCGAACCCTATGAGTAATCAACACTGATCTATGGATAAAAGGTTTTGCACAACCACTGCAAACATAACTCTTTACTCCATTGTGCCATCTCTGGGGATGAATGAGGACAGAGTTGCAGGCTACGGATTTCCCACATTTGCTGCACATGTATTGCCTGGATCCACTGTGAGTTTTACCATGTTCATTCAGGGCTGACCTTTGCCTAAGTGATTTTCCATATTTGCCAAATTCGTAATGTCTTTTTCCAATATGGTATCTCTGGTGTATGGCAAATAAGGATTTGTACCTGAATGTTTTCCCACATTCACTGCACACAAAGGACTGTCTTCTGGGGTGGACACCCTGGTCCTGAATATGTGTGTGTTTGGGACGAAAGGCGTTCTTGCATTCTCCCCAGGTGTCATGACTTTTTCTGCTTTGTAAAGTTGCCCTGCGCTGGGTGATCGTGTGTGCCTTCTCCCCAGTATCAGTGGCCTCTTGCTGCAGATGCCCTGAACCAGACAGGAAGTCCTTCTGCACTTCTCCACAGGTAAAGGGCTGTCCTGAACCATGGAATCCCCAGCTCTTCACAACAGAGGCCCTGTCCACACGGCTTCTGGAGGGTTCTGCTCCCATGTGCTGCTCCTGCTGCTGCTGAAACTTTACACTGAAATAAAATCGTTTCCCACAGGCCCCACACCTCAACGGCTTCTGGCTGTTTTCTTTTCCCTGGTGCGCAGCCAAGTGGAAAATGTCTCTCAGGACTGGACCACACATCTCACAGGGGTGGGTCTTCCGGGAAGACTGAGCTGCCTTGGGCGTCCTGGTCTGTGACACGCCTACAGAAGTGCTCTGGGCAAAGGGTGCCTCATCCTCTGCTCCACAGCAGCAACCTGAAGGCAAAGAAGCGCTGGTGAAATTTGTGTTGACTATAGCGAGGGGGTGAGCCCATCACATACATCATCTGTCTCCCCTGGGCACAAGTTTATAGCATGCTTTTCCAGACACTGGAGATGGAATTCAGTTGAAGGAGTGGCCACTGTGCATTACTGGGTCCCTAAGGTCAAAGTATCATGGAGAGCACACTAGCCAGAAGAATACAAGACTAGGGTATGACACAGGGAGAGCCAGGGTCGAAACCTTACTTCTCTTCCCACAAGTTAGCGTAGGACCAATTCTGCTGGTGGTATTTGTCTAAGTACAAGGCTGCAGAAACATCCAATCCCCATTAATCTGCTGCTGTTCAATGTCAGTTTAAGGACATGTGAATGGGGCGCTTGGGTATGTCAGTTGGTTAAGCATCTCCCTTCAGCTCAGGTCATGATCCCAAGGTCCTGGGATTGAGCCCCTTATCTGGCTCCCTGCTCAGAGGGGAACCTGGTTCTCCCTCTCTCTCTCTGCCACTCCCCTTGCTCATTCCCTCTCTCTCAAATAAATACATAAAATCTTTTTTAAAAACTTAAAAAAAAAGACGTGAATATCTCATGGTAAAACATTTGGGGGTGAATGGTGGAGTGCACAGGAAGAGCAGTGAGAGTAAGAGGTGAGATATGGAGGCCTGAAAAGCACTGATTACCCCTATATTGGACGTCATGGAATTACCAATGGAACAGAACCCAGAATTCACAAATTGTCAACAGTGAAGAAGGAAAGACAGAGACAGGGTGTGGCCATCAGCAATCACACCAAACTCTGGTGGAAGAAACAAAGGTGCCTGGTATGAGCTGAACACAGGTCTGATATCACACCTTCTCCAGCTTCTATTCACCAGAAACAGGCCCCTGTGAGCCCACCTGGTCATGTGTGGAGCTTGTCCATGCTATGACACACAAAGAAGTCCTCCCTATAAGCCCTCCTGAGCAACTATAAGATACCAGGAGGATAGAAATACTGAAGGAAAACAGGGCACCTGGACAACCAAACTGTCCCAGAGCTACTCAGGAGAGCCGACACAGAAAAACATCCTATGTGACTGATGGCAGCAGGATGGGAGAACAGGAGATACCATCCTTCACCCCAACAAAAATCAATTCAACAGCTGTCTATGAATGGCATTATCTCAGAGACCTCAACAGTGCCATTGAGACAGTAGTACACAGTGGAGCATAAACAAGGGCACAAGCACACAGAAAAGATGGCTGGAGCCTGTTAGCAGAGACTGTGGGGCGGGTAGGAAAAAGGGCTGGGGCTACCTCCATCAGCCACAGGGCGTGTGCTACTGCAGTCCTTGCTCAGCACAGACTCCAGCTGCCGGCTCCACAGGGGACATTGGCACCACTGCCACCAAGTCAACCAAGCGCTAAAACCAAAGCCATCTTCAGAAAGAAAATCAAGGGGCACCTGGGTGGCTCAGTTGTTAAGCGTATGCCTTCGGCTCAGGTCATGATCTCAGGGTCCTGGGATCGAGCCCCACATCAGGCTCCCTGCTTGGCGGGAAGTCTGCTTCTCCCTCTCCACTCCCCCTGCTTGTGTTCCCTCTCTCGCTGTCAAATAAATAAAATCTTAAAAAAAAAAAAAAAGAAAGAAAATCAAAGCTGAACGCAGTGTATTTCTGACTTCAAACTAGATTACAAAGTTATAGTATTCAAAATAATAGGGTACTGGCTTAAAAACAGTCCAAGGGAACAGAATAAAAACTCCAAAAGTAAACATTCATACATAGAGTCAACTAATATTTGACAATTATGCCAAAAATCTATACTAGGGAAGAATAATCTCTTTAATAATGTTGTGAAATCTATGGGGAGCCCGGGGTTCATATTTGGTCGAGCTTCGACTCCTGGTTTCAGCTCAGACAGTGATCTCAGGGTCATGAGAGAAATCTCCACATCTTTCAGCTTAGAGCCGGCTTGGGACAGTCTATCTCCCACTCCCTCTGCCCCTCCCCACCATTGTCTCTGTCTCTCTCTAAAATAAATAATTAAATGTTTTTTTTCTTTTCTATATGATATACTTTTTTTTTTCTGCTAGAGCATTTTTTTTTTTTAGCTTTTTATTATGTTATGTTAATCACCATACATTACATCATTAGCTTTTGATGTAGTGTTCCATTGTTTGCATATAACACCCAGTGCTCCATGCAGTACGTGCCCTCTTTAATACCCATCACCAGGCTAACCCACCCCCCACCCAATAATTAAATGTTTAAAATACTGTTGTGAATGGCGCCAGGGTGGCTTGACGGTTGAGCATCTGACTCCTGGTTTCAGCTCAGGTCATGAACTAACAGTTCTGAGATGGAGCCAGCATCGGACTCCACGCTCAGTGTGGAGTCTGCTTTGGATTCATTTTCCCTCTCCCTCAGCTCCTCCCTGCTTGCTCTCTCTCTCAAATAAGTAAATAAATCTTTAAAAAATAATAGTAATAAAATACTTCTGTGAAATCTAAATATCCAAATGAAAAAACAATGAAACTTGGTCCTCATCCTATAACACACATGGAAATGAAGTTGAAATTGAATCAATACTTAAACATACGAACTTTAACCCGAAAACTCCTACAAAATCATAGGGAAAAGCCTCCTTTTTTTTTTTTTTAAAAGATTTTATTTATTTATTTGACAGAGAGAGAGACAGCGAGAGAGGGAACACTAGCAGGGGGAGGGGGAGAGGGAGAAGCAGGCCTCCCACCGAGCAGGGATCCCAATGTGGGGCTCGATCCCAGGACCCTGGGATCATGACCTGAGCAGAAGGCAGATGCTTAACGACCGAGCCACCCAGGCGCCCCTATTAAAACCTTTTTAATTGTTATTTTTAATTAATCTATATACCCAACATGGGCTTGAACTCACAACCCCGAGATCAAGAGTTGCATGCTCTACCAAGTGAGCCACCCAGGCGCCCCTAGGGAAAAGCCTCCTTAACCTTATTCCTGCCAATGATTTTTTTGAATATGAAATCTAAAGCACACACAAAAGCAAAAACCTACAAGTACTACCATACCAAACTGAAAAGCTGCACCAAGGCCAATGAAACACAGAAGAGAGTGAAAAGGGTGTACAAGTGCCTAACATGTTGTCACAATCACGAATCACCAGGGAAATGAAAACCGAAACCACGGGTGCTGGGTGACTCAGTGGGTTAAGCGTCCATGTTCGGCTCAGGTCATGATCTCAGGGTCCTGGAATCGAGTCCCATGTCAGGCTCCCTGCTCAGCGGGGAATATGCTTCTCCCTCTCCCTCTCCCTCTGCCCCTCCTCCCCGCTCATGCTCTCTCTCTCAAATAAATAAATAAAAATCTTAAAAAAAAAAAAACAAAAACCCGTAACCACAAGATATCACCTCCTACCTGTTACAATGGCTATTACCAAAAAGACAAGAGGTAACACGTTGATTAGGATGTGCAGGAAAAATAACATTTGAATACTGCTGCTGAGAATGTAAACAGGGAAGTCACTATGGAAAATATTAGGGAGACCCACCAAAAATTGAAAATACAACTACTATATAGTCCACCACTGCCATTTCTAGGTATGTATCCCAAGGAAACAAAATCAGTATCTCCACAAAGCATTTGAACATGAATATCTACTGCAGTATTATTCACAATAGCAAATATATGGAAACATCAGTAGGTGTGTGTGTATTTAAAATGACAAAGAAAGGGGGTGCCTGGGTGGCTCAGATGGTTAAGCATCTGCCTTTGGCTCAGGCCATGATCCCAGGGTCCTGGATCGAGTCCCGCATCGGGCTCCCTGCTCCTTGGGAGCCTGCTTCTCCCTCTGCCTCTCTCTCTCTCTCTCTCTCTCTTGTCTTTCATGAATAAATAAATTAAAAAAAAAAATCTTAAAATAAATAAATAAAATAAAATGACAAAGAAGGGACGCCTGACTGGCTAAGTTGGTAGCGCATCGAACTCCTGATCTCAGGGTGGTGAGTTTAAGCCCCACATTGGGTATGGAGTCTATGTAAAAAAACAAAATAAAAAAATAAATTGTGTCAAATGAATAAATAAAGAGACAGAGAACAATGAGTACCCACACACGTACAGGAATATTCAGCCATAAAAAAAGAAGGCAACACTGCCATTTCCCACAGACGAACCTGGAAAACCTTATGCAGAGTCAAATCAGCCACACAGCAAAATACATACTTTGTATGGTTATCACTTACATGAGTGTTCCTTAAAAAAGATATAAATCAAACTCAAAGATACAGAGAGTAGAAAGCCAGAAGCCCAGGACTGAGGGAAATGGGAAGATGTTGGTTAGGGGTACACACTCACTTTCACATATAGGATGAGTAAGTTCTGACAATCTAATGTACAGGAGGTTGATTACAGATGTCAATATCGTATTCTACACTTGAAATTTGCAAACAGGGTAGATATTAAGTTTTTGAACCACCACCAACAAAAAAGGGTTATTATGTCAAGTGACTGTGTGCTGTAACTTCACGTTAATAATTTTATTTTTTATAAGTTTTTTTTTTTTTTAAGATTTTATTATTTATTTGACAGAGAGAGAGAGAGATAGCAAGAGAGGGAACACAAGCAGGGGGAGCGGGAGAGGGAGAAGCAGCCTTCCCACTGAGCAGGGAGCCCGATGTGGGGCTTGATCCCAGGACCCTCGGATCATGACCTGAGCCGAAGGCAGACACCTAATGAATGAGCCACCCAGGCGCCCCTTGTTAATAATTTTATAAGGTAGGGGTGCCTGGGTGACACAGTGGTTTAAGCACCCAACTCCTGGTTTCACCTCAGTGTGATGTTTGGGTTGTGATACTGAGGCCCTGCCTCAGGCTCTGCTCTCAGCACAGGGTCAGCTTGGGTTTCTCTCTTCCTTTCCCCTCCTCTCCGCTTGCACACGCATGCACACAAACTCTCACTCTCACTCTCTAATAAATAAATCTAAAAAGAAATTACACTAAACTCATAATGTATATCAAATTATCATGTAATATAATTTCAATAAAATAATCTTATTGGTCAATCATACCTCAACAAAGCTCATGGGAGGGAGGCAGGTGGAAGAAGAGATGTAAACACTACTAAAAGAACCATACAGGACAGTCATGAGAAGTAACCCATGGTCCACATAAGCAGTAAACATGCCAGGGCACCTGGGTGGCTCAGTCGTTAGTCATCTGCCTTCGGTCCTGGGATCGAGCCCTGCGTCGGGCTCCCTGCTCCGCGGGAAGCCTGCTTTTCCCTTTCCCATTCTCCCTCCTTGTGTTCCCTCTCTCACTGTGTCTCTCTCTGTTAAATAAATAAATAAAATCTTAAAAAAAAAAAAA